TGCGGGCTTCCTCATGTAGATTCTTTCTATGCTTTCTAAAGCCCAAAGGGTGATAATACTTTATGCTTATGAGAACCAGTTTATAAGCTAAAGATTGCTCATATTCCAAATGACATTGTAAAGGAGCATCTGCTAAACCAAGTGACTGCTTTTGGATAAGGAAGGGCTTTTCCTTCTACTGAAATCTATGATATGAAGACAAGTTGGCAGATAAAATATACAGAATTTTTAAACCAACACAGGGATCCAAGCTCTCTTGAATACTATTCAGAAGTTTTAAACTATTATAATTTTGTCTGCTTAAGTAGCTTGTAGTTAGATTTTTAAGCTGCTTTCACAAATAGTATTTTGCAGCCTTGTTTTATCTACTGAGGACAAGAGGCCCTAGGAAAAATGCTTGAAACAATAAATTTAACAGTTAATGAAATTGTTCTATGATCAGCATTACTCTTGTTTTACAGTAAACCTATGATGGACTTGTTGATATTCCTCTGTGCACAGTATCACTTAAATCCATCAAGTCACACAATTGATCTGCTGTCAGCTGAAAAGAACCCCATTAAATTTAAGCCAAACACACCAATAGGAATGTTGGAGGTAGAAAAAGTAATTTTAAAGCCAAAAATTTTGGATAAGAAAAAACCTACACCTATAATACCAGAGGTAAGATTTTCACTGTAAATTTTGGTGTCTTACAGCTAAAATACTAGGTTGATTTTTTTAGTCATTATCTGCAGCTCATTGCAAATGAAATAAAATTGCCTTTCCTGGTCAAATTTGACGTAAACATGGCTATTGTGTTTTCCTGGGCCACTTTGTTTACGATTCACTTAGTTGTTTATCCTTGGATTAACTAGAATTTGGGGAATACTGCAGATTTTAGATGCTCTAAAGTGATCTATATGACAGTATCAGAATCTGACAATTATGACTATATTTTAAGCTACTCTTTTAAAAAGTGTTTATATTAAAAAAAAAGGTTTTATACTTTTTAATACAAATTCCTTTAAGAATTTATTAAAATAATTTTTTGGCTTCTCTGTACTTGGTAAGCCGTAGTTGTAATTTATTTAAATTATTGTTAATTTGAGCTACATGATGGCTCAGTTTTTTGTGATGTATGAATTTTAAGCAAAAATTTTTAACCACAGTGATTCTAATATCATCAATTCTCCTTTATTTATAAAATTGTTCTTTTTCTGTAAGCAACAGGGGTAGAAGTTTATAGGTTTCTAGAAATACTCTTTCATTAGGAATGATATTAACCATTTTTAACTTCACAAAATATATAAAGGTTTACATATTAAATTAGTTCATTTACATATGACTTGAGTAATACATTCTCATATTTTCTTCAAAAAATTAACTTTTTTGGATAATACTAAAACATTTGCTTTCTATAAAATATGAATATTAAATATTCACCAGGATATGGGGCTATTTTCTAGCAAGATATACATGCTACTTATCTAAATGGAAATAGTATTATTTATGCTATAACGTGGGACTATATATGGTATTTTAGTTTTATGAATACATGTTAAACTTTGAAGACCTGCAATCTGTAGGTTTCACTTAAGATGGTCACATGTTTCTAAATTCCATTTACATATAGAATTTAATTCAGTTACATTAAAATGTGGAGATACTTAAAATCTTCTCAATAATTTCGAATTAGCAGTATTAAATATTTAAATGAGGACTATTATAATATTCTTTACTAATATATTAAAATTAACCAAAGTAGTAATAATAATAGTGACAATAGGCAGTCACAATAGTTAATGTTTACTTATTGATAACTTACAATGTGCCAGACACTGTGTTAAGCTCTTTATAATGGATTAACTCATTTATCTTACCTCAAATAAGAGAAGTTCAAAAATGTTAATGTCTTAATTAAAATATCCCTTTTTATTTTCACTGAGACAACTGACCATTAGAAAGATAAATATTTCTCAACTAAAAAAAGTAGAATAAAACATATATAATTCTATTATTATGTATGTTTGCTAATTTTTGTTTGTTTGTTTTTTGTTTTTTGTTTTTTGGGTTCGCGGGCCTCTCACTGTTGTGGCCTCTCCCGTTGCGGAGCACAGGCTCCGGACGCGCAGGCTCACCGGCCATGGCTCACAGGCCCAGCCGCTCCGCGGCATGTGGGATCTTCCCGGACCGGGGCACGAACCCGTGTCCCCTCCATCGGCAGGCGGACTCTCAACCACTGCACCACCAGGGAAGCCCTGTTTGCTAATTTTAAAGTAAATATTATATGGAATAAAGCAAAAACATCTGTAGGACTAGATATGAGGCTTTTATGTTTCTTTTTGGATTTAAATCTACTTAATACTTTACAAGAGTTATGAATTTAATCTAGATTACTTAATAAGCAAACTATTTCTAAGAATCTGGTTTGGATTTAGGAAGTAACATTAATCAAAAAGAAAATTTTACAACAAAGTAGAAAAACACTGTTTATCATACCAATATATAATTGTAGATTATCTCATTGTTCTAGATGTCATTGTAGAAGGTTTGTTTCAGTAAATCATGGTATAACTCTGGCTTTAATCTGTGTTTCAGAAAACTGTGAGAGTAGTGATCAATTTTAAGAAAACGCAGAAGACGATAGTGAGAGTTAGCCCACATGCACCACTTGAAGAACTTGCCCCTGTTATATGCAGCAAATGTGAGTTTGATCCATTACATACACTATTATTGAAGGACTATCAGTCTCAGGAGCCCCTCGACTTGACAAAATCTCTTAATGAGCTGGGACTAAGAGAATTATATGCCATGGATGTCAGCAGAGGTAAGTAGACTTTTCATGTTATTCATTTGGTGCATATATGTGCATGTTTTGTGTTTATGTGTAAGTGTTCTCAAGTTCATAATGGCACATTAATGGATCCTGTAGTAAAGGCAATACATGTCACTGGGAATAAGAAGAGAAAACTAAATGCAATAAAATTTAACTTGAGTTAAGTTATTCATATTGGAATAAAAACACGTCTTTCTTAGCTGTCATCCACATTTTACACCTTTCCATCTACCTATGAATATTTGGGCTGCAATTTAACTTAATTCTTTGTGGTTTTAAGATTTAAACAGAAAGTTAAAGTTTACATGTAAAGTCGTTGTTCTAAAGAAATGTGAATTACAATAGACTCACCATGGATTTGTCTGAGTCTTAATTATCTTTCAAATTTGGGAGTTTCTTGACAAATTTTTTTCTAAGTTCAGCACCCAAAATCAACTGGCTTATAAAATGAATCAGTCTACTACAAAAATCTTCTAAATAGGAATAGCTTAGAGTGTAAATCTATAGAAATAATGTATTAAAATTCGGAGATTTTAGATAATGTTGGTTTCTTATGATGTCTGATAGAAAAATGCAAGTTTATTCAACACAAATCTGTTTTATTAGGAGAAATAAAAGTTTAGTGAAGAATGATTACTTAACATCCTCTGTATATAGAGAACTTCAAACTTTATCCTGAGATTGTGGCTTTAAATAATCCATAAATGACTATTTCAACTCAGTGATGTTTTATACTTGAACAAACATTATCTTTTCAGCCAATTTACCCTCTTTTACCCCCTCCTTCTGTAGCCACTTCTGTTACTGCCTTCAATAAGTCATCTTTACAAGGTAAGACACATGAATCAGTAGAAACAGATTATAATATGAAATCTCTATTTCTATTGGGTAAATTGAAAACAAGCTGCTAATTTTACCTGTTTTCTTATCATTACTAATATGTACATTCTGTAAAAGATTTTAATTTAGAAAGTCTTTGGTCTTTATTTCCTGAAAAATAGTTTAAAGCCCCCTACCTTGATTTCTGAATTTAATTTCAGTAATTACATTTCAATAATTGTTTGAAAGTTAATATCATCTTAAGAATAACAAAAACATATTCTTGGCTCTCAGACAAAAAATGATGTTGCTACAATCTTTATTGTGTACATATACTGATAACTTGGTTCCATGGAAGAGTCTCAGATTATTTCTTTTGAAACAGTTACTCAGAATTATAAGGGTATATTCATCATAGGAAATGTTTGCAAGCATTAAATTGTTTGTGAATATTTTGTAATAACATGGAAAGTGCTTATGCTAAAATCAGCTTTTAAAGCTTTTTAAATGTTTAATACAGTATGTTTTAAAAAAAGCTTTTACATGAAATTTCTGAAAAGAAATACAAAAAAAATTTAAGAGTTGATACCTTTAGGTGGTAGGGCTATGGGTGAATTTTTTTCATCCTCCTTTTCTTTATTTTTTTTTAAAGTTTATTTTATTTAAAAAAATTTTTGATTTACAAGGTTGTGTTAGTTTCAGGTGTACAGCAAAGTGAACCAGTTATACATATATCCACTCTTTTTTAGATTCTTTTCCCATATAGGTCATTACAGAGTATTGAGTAGAGTTCCCTGTGCTATACAGTAGGTCTATTTTATATATATCCTTCTTTTCTTTATATTATATAATTTTTTAATGGAAATGTATTACTTTCATAGAGGAAAACTTTATTAAAGGCTATACAGAGGTCTATTTTATATATATCCTTCTTTTCTTTATATTATATAATTTTTTAATGGAAATGTATTACTTTCATAGAGGAAAACTTTATTAAAAATTAGTCATTAATAATAAAGTCTGGAAATCTGTTTCCCCATTACAAAAGGATAGGCTCAGATAATTGATTACTATAATAATTACCCCCTACTAAAAAAAACTTAATAAAGTGTACACATTATACATTATTGGATTATTGGAATCTTCTTTCTTTACCACTTCCAATTTTTTTATAACACAATGAGCCTCTCAATTCCAAGAATTAAGCCCACATCAGTAATAGTGTGATTATTTATTTTTAGCGGCTGTCATGAAGACTAGCCTAATAAAAGGAGTTGAAAATTCTTATGTTTGTAAAGTATATACTGGCTAATAATCAGAAGATAGGCATGTTAATTCTGACACTACATTAGCTTTCAAGCTCATTGGCAAACTGATAGGGCAAATGGCTTTATTTGTGCGGATCTCACCTTCTACTTCTATAATAATCTAGAGGTAGGAAAAAGTGTCCTCTGGTTCTTCCAGCAACAGCATTGTTACTTGTACTTGGCCTTTGCTTCTAACTTTGCCAGTCTCTACATACATAACCGAAAGCAAATTCCATAATCTTGTTGGCCTCAGTTTGAAGGTGTTGAATGCATTGATTTCTAATATCCCCTCCAGCTAAAAGTAAGTATGTGGTTTATGCAGAGTATTAAATGTTGTGAACATAATCTTAAGAGATTGTAATAGGAAAATGTAAAAAAAGCTCCTTTTACAATGTCAAAATCTACAGGGTCAATCCAAATGTTGTAAATGCTCCTGCCTCTTTATTTTGTCTGATATTATCAGAAGGCTTAGAACTTTGTGTGCAATTATTTACAGCCTCTCTTTGGGAAATAGGAAACTACAGTATTTGAGTTGCTTTTCTAAGTAAGCTCAACTCCTTGTCTTAGTGTTTAACTCTGACTTGTAATGATCCCTGTAAGTGAGCTTTAGGCGAAGACTTAGGAGTTTAACCAGAGTAGAGGATGCCCAGATCCCTGGAAATTGCTTTACCAAAAATAACTACATGAGTACTCTGGTTATAGTTATTGTACTGCATCACCATGTGAACTTTCTATTTACCATTCCAACTAAATTTAATTGTATATCTACATTCAATTAGTGGAGGAGTCTATCTTAAAATGAAATAGTAGCATTTCTTAAAAAAAAAAGTCAGAGGTATTACACATCATCTTTAAATGGATACTGGATTCAGTTCTATTTAATGTCTGTTTTTCTTGGTGCAAGTTATTCAGACTCTCTAGTCACCATCACTAAGGCCTCAGATGTGTAATGAGATAGTACCATCTGCTTCCAATTCTTTACATTCCCTAACTTATAAAAAGAAATCAGAATAATAACTTGTGACACCCACCTCATAGGATTGTTCTAAAGAGTGAGTTAGGCTTGTGAAAAAATCTTTAACCACAAAGTGCTGTCCACATGTCTATTACTATTCATTGTTAGCATTGTCAGCATTGTATAGCATGCATAGTGCTTATTTAATATTTGAAGCATCAGATTTATGAAGTTTTAATTTGTGAAATATAGTTCTCCTTTAGTGTCTTATTGAGGAAAATTGCATTAATGTATTTATTGGTGTTAACTATGTTTGCTTCCACGGAGTAACTCCTACTTTGTCATAATTTATTTAATTTTTTAAACATTTCCTTTAAATAAAAAGACTATACATTTACTCCTAAGAAAGGGCTATGTATTTGATACTTTACATTGAGCTGTAAGTTCTGCTACAGATATATCCCACAAATGTCAATATATAGTACTTTGTCTCCAGTGTCACTGAAATTATACTGTGGTTTACCATAAAACCCATATGTGTTTCATAGGAGAAATGTTTTTAAAATTTATAAATCCCCACTCCTGTGTGTCTCTCTCTCTTTGTTTAAAATTTGCAACTTATCTGTTGAAGAAACCAGGTCATTTGTCTTATGGTGTTTCCCACATTCAGAATTTTGCTGATTGCATCCTGTGGTGCCACTTAACATGTTTCTTTATCCTCTGCTTCCTGTAAATTGTTTGTTAAATCTAGAGACTTGATCAGATTTGGGTGAGATATTTTTGGTAAGAATATTTCATGGATGGTATTGTGTATTTCCATTAACAGACCTGTAATAACAAGTTATCTTTTTTTGATGTTAGCCATCAATAATCTTTGCTTATGTCTTTTTTTTTAACTGAAGTATAGTTGATTTACAATGTTGTGTTAATATCTGCTGTACAGCAAAGTGATTCAGTTATACATATACATACATTCTTTTTTATATTCTTTCCCATTATGGTTTATCACAAGATATTAAATATAGTTCCCTGTGCTATACAGTAGGACCTTGTTGTTTATCCATTTTATATATAATAGTTTGCATCTACTGACTCCAAACTCCCACTCCATCCCTCCCCCTCCCCAACCCCATCTTAGCAACCACAAGTCTGTTCTCTTTGTCTGTGAGGCTGCTTCTGTTTCACAGGTGGATTCATTTGTGTCATATTTTAGATTCCACATATAAGTGATATCATATGGTATTTGTCTCTCTCTTCCTCACTTACTTCACTTAGTATGATAATCTCTAGGTCCATCCATGTTGCTGCAAATGGCATTGTTTCATTCTTTTTATGGTCAAGTAGTATTCCACTGTATATAATGTACCACATCTTCTTTATCCGTTCATCTGTTGATGGACATTTAAGTTGTTTGCATCTTTTGGCTATTGTGAATAGTGCTGCTGAGAACATCATTGCCAATGTCTTGGTTAATTAGGAGTTAGAAAAGAAATATAATCTGTTACAAATATTCCTTTAATTATCGGTTGAGATATTTCTAAAAAAGATTTCTCTATGTCAGCTATTTGTCTACCTAGCTAGAGTTCATTCAGAAAAGACAGGATAAGAGTGTGATTCTTTGCCTTAATCAATTTTTAAAACAATGGACAGTGAGAATCAGTTATTTTTTTTAGTATCATTATGAATTCATAGAATTAAACATATGTGCTATGTTTCAATTTATTGAGAGATTCTTATGATGCCCAAATTGTCCTGACTTTGGCCAGGAGAAACCATATCACGTTGGCTCCTGAGATGGTCCCTTTAAGTGGGAAATGGTATTTAGAGACAGTCTGGGCAAGGGTGACTCAGCACTACTGGGTTTGTCATTGTTTTTGGCCCTTTCAGTTGACATTAGGAAACACTTTTTAGAAAATGAAATATTACCTATACAACTTTGAGGTTTGACGTTTGCCATTCTGCTTAAATTGTGGTTTAATTTCGGCACTGTTGACATTTTGGGCCAGATAATTCTTTGTTCTGGGGGGCTGTCTTGTGCATTGTAGTTTGTTTAGCAGCATCACTAGCCTGTACCCCGTATATGCCAGTAGCACATTCTCTTCACCCTTCCCCTAGTTGTGACAACCGAAATTGTCCCTAGGCTTTGTTAAACGTCTTTGGCGGGATGTGCGTGTGTGTGCATGCAAAATCACCACCAGTTCAGAATCACTGGATTAAAGAAATAAAGTTTTTAAAACATTTAACAGAGTGCTGAGTAATTATAATGAATCATGTTTTGGAGAATTAAATATTTCAGAATAGTTTAGCTCTGAGGCAAAATATATAATTCAAAATCAACAAAGGGACAAACTGTACGATAGCAACTTCATATCTCATTTAATTCGAAGTGTCCTTTTTACTTCTGAAATGTTGGTAGTTATGGATAAAACACAGACTCTTGAGTCGCTTCAGTTTCCTCTGCTGTGGAACAGGAACAATAATACTAAATTTGCTTGTTGCTTTGAGAATTAATTAAAATATGAGGTGCTGAGCAGAGTGCGTCGTTCATAGTAGAGCATAATTAGTAGCTTTTATCATTAGACAAAGTTATCAAGGGAAAGTAATTGAGGGATAGTTCACCTCGGAGGTGAACATATAACCCCTCAAGCAAAAGTAAGGTGCTTTTCTTCTATTTTAGAGACCTGCCAAATATCACAAAACCTAGACCTTATGAAGGATAAAGAAAATAAAGGGTTTTTCAGCCTTTTTCAACGCAGTAAGAAAAAGCGGGAGCAAGTACGTATTTTCTTATGTAGCATTTTATAAGATTCTTCTAACGTTTTTAAGTGCACGTGCTTTTCGTCTTGGAATTACCTGTAGATTTTGCTTTTTCATTCTTTATTAGACCGCCAGTGCCCCTGCAACTCCTCTAGTAAGTAAGCATCGTTCAGCTTTTACGAGGAGCAATACCATTACCAAACAGTATATTTCAAACACCCTGCCATCGGATGCACCCAAGAAGAGGCGTGCTCCACTGCCTCCAATGCCAGGGTCTCAGAGAGCCCCCCAGGACCTTGCTCACATCCAGGAGAGGCCAGCTTCTTGTGTGGTGAAATCTACAAGTCTGGATGAAACAGAGGAGGTACGTAAATTTGTTTTGTTTTTTATTTTTAGGATGGGGCAGGGGACCATCCATTTTTCCTCTTAACTAACTTGTCCTTTTCCACATAGGCTGCTAATAGTAACAGTTACAAATATGTAATAAGATGAATAACTAGTTACTAATAACATTGGTACTGTGAAGAGATTCTATATGTAGAGTTCTGCAATGCAGTAAAGAATAAATATGTCAGTTTTAAGTAGCTTTTATATACAAGCAAATAAATCATCCATAAACCTTAAAGCCCTGGTTTATTAAGGCCCAACTGGAGGTTCTTGCATGATGCATGTATTAGGAATGGAAATTTTTTTTTTTTTTTTTTTTTCCGTACGCGGGCCTCTCAGTGTTGTGGCCTCTCCCGCTGCGGAGCACAGGCTCCGGACGCGCAGGCTCAGCGGCCATGGCTCACGGGCCCATCCACTCCGCGGAATGTGGGATCTTCCCGGACTGGGGCACGAACCCGTGTCCCCTGCATCAGCAGGCGGCCTCTCAACCACTGAGCCACCAGGGAAGCCTGAAAGTTTATTTTTTAAACAGCAACAAATTTTTATGTTGCATTCATGGGTTTCTAACTAGATATAGTCATGTCTTGACCTGACTCTGAGATTCTCGGGGGGGAAATCCTTGTGTCTGCCTGATACATAAATACTCTATAATAAAAAAGAGTCTTTATATAGCATATATTGTAGTTACTATCATATACTTTTATGTTCAAGGCACTGTTCTAGGTGTACCTTTTTCTCAAACATTCTCACTATTGCTCTCTTTAATCCCAAATTTTCCTGGAGCATGCTGTTTTGTAGAAATACATTTGCAAACAAGTTTTCATGCCTATGAAGTCTGTACATTCCTTGCTTTATTCAGGTGAATTACAAGCGAAGTTTTAAGTAAATGTGATTGAACATGAGACCATATATTTTATTGCTTGTAATCAAATGATTTAAGTAACTCTGAGACCAAATTTTATTTTGAGGTATTTGAGAAACCAAGAAGTTTTCTTGTATCTAGTTGAAGGGTTTTATTTCCCCCTTGGAAGCTTAGTAAATCCAATGCTCAAGTAAATGAACACTTCTCAACCAACTAATAAACATTTCTGTACTTCCTTAACCTTAGAAAAATTTTAACTATAGTTTTTAATTGTAATTGATAAGCTCTCATATGTGTCTTTAGAAAGTAGCAACTGGATTAGATAGAAATGAGCATAAAAAATGTTGGAACTTGGTAGTTATTTGGAAAATCATCTATTAAACTGTCTTCTTATTTCTATAAGGGTCTCTTGTCTAATGGTTGTGGTATAAAGTCTCACCTTGCCCATCAGGAGGATAGTTATTTTTTCAAATGATAGAATCATTTACTACAGAATTTTCCAGGGTAACTGCTTGGTAGTTGGATTCAGCCTTAAAAAGCATGTGGGAGTGCCTTAGTCAGGCCAGAGGAATCCCGTTGAAAGATGCGGCGAATGTCAGGGCTGTGGCAAGTCTGGGCATGCACAAGAAACAGAGTTTGCACGGGGAGAGAGGCAGGGACCAAATCAGGGTCCCAGAGACCTCATTTTGTGGCCATAACTAGTTTGCATTTCTTCATAGTGAATCATTTAAAAGGTAGCACTTTCAGGATTGTTTTATATTTTTAATTACCATAAAACTGTACTGTAAGAGTATAACTTATCATACTCATGAGTGGTTACCAAAGTCTGTCTTCTTCTTTATATAGAAATACATCTTAGCCCCTGCTCACAAACCTTTATTCCAGATGACTTCATCCAATCTATTCCAGTAAATGTCCTTTGTGTTGGGAGCCTGAAGAGGTCTACGTTGTCTTTCTAACAGTCAGCTTCTTAAAATTCTAGGCCATGCTACCAGTGACCTTGACAAAAGCCATTTCTTTTGATTCCCACTCTCTGCTCTCACCAGTTGATGCCCCCGTGTTAAGGACTAATTTTTTTTTTTAATTTTTTTTTTAGTATGTTGCCTTTGGCGAACTAGACATCTTTATATAATTTTCTAGTTATTTTTTCCTTTGATCTGGACATCTGGATAGTTCTTTGATGTATTATTTAGTAGGACCTGGAATTATTTGTTTTTCCCTAGTGAAGCTGAAGAACCACTTTTTAAAAATTTATTCATTACAAAAATTCTTAACAATTAAGCTGTGGTTCTGTGTGTGTTTGTGGGTATGTGTACATGTACATGTGTATGCTCATATGAATTCTTCCCTTCCCGGGCATCCCAGCACTTATTTTCTTAAGTTCTTTGCCATATTTGATGGACTAGATCACCCTTTGGTCTTGATTTTTCTTTCTTCCTTTTTTTTTTTTTTTTGGCGGGGGCAGGGGCTGTGCCATGTGGCATATGGGATTTTAGTTCCCCGACCAGGGATCGAACCTGTGCTCCCTACGGTAGAAGCATGGAGTCTTAACCAGTGGACCACCAGGGAAGTCCTTTCTCTCTTCCTTGGTCCTAATTCTCTTCTTATATCTCAGCTCTCTCCTATTTTTTTTGCCACCACTTCCTGTACCCATTTTCTAAATTTGGAGGTACCTGAATCCACGGTATTAGCCTCTATTTACTCTTTCAGAGAAAACATCTATTCTTTGTTGAGTTGTTTGTTGTAGTGTTTTGAATAGTGTCCCCCCAAAAGATACATCCAAGTCAAGGATCTAGAGATGAGATAATCCTGGACTTAAGTTGGGCTCAAATCCAATGACTGGTGTTGGTATAAGAGGGGAGACACGGGCACAGAGACACAAAGGAGTAGGCCATGTGATGACAGAGACGGAGACTGCAGTAGTGCTGCCACAAGCCAAAGAATGCCAGGAGGCACCAGAAGCTCGAGGAGGCAAGGAAGGATTCTCCCCCAGTGCCTTCTGAGGGATATGGCCCTGCTGACACCTTGATTTCAGGCTACTAGCTTCCAGAACTATGGTAGAATAAAATTCTGTTGTTTGAAGTTGCCCAGTCATGGCAATTTGTTACAGCAGCCCTATGAAATGAATACGTCAGCTTTGTATTCCAATCCCAATATTGTTCCACTCGCAGTTTGAACTCACGGTTGCTTATTGACTCATCACTACCTGGAAATCAACGTATTTAAAATCAACCTCACTTTTTTTTCTCTCAGATTGAAAAGCTCAAGATCATCTTTGATGTCCTTTATTTTTCTTTTCACATCCAATTAGTGACCAACCCTTCATTCAGTTTCCCTTCACAGTATCTCCTTGTCCCTTTCTTCCATTCCCTCTGCTAAAAACATGCCTCAGGGAAATCCAGGGCCAGGAGGGTAAGGAGAAGGTCAGTACTTAACTTGTCTTCCCCCTTCTTGTCTTCAGAAGACAAAGAATGTGGCACGCTGCCACATTTATATTTTATAATTGTCACTTCCCAGTTCAGAAACTTTGGATAGCTGGCTGTTATTTTCTAGGCATTCAAGGTCCTCTACCAGCATAACAATTTGGTGGGTATGGAGGGCTCTGCTTTCCTCCCTCCCTCCCTCCCTCCCTTCCTTCCTTTCTTCCTTCTTTCCTTCCTTTCTTTCTTCCTTCCTTCCCCCCTCCCTCCCTCTCTCCTTTCCACCTCCCCTCGCTCTCTCTCTGCCTCCACCCCTCCCTTTCTCTCTTTCTTTCTAGCTGCACTGACATATAATTGACAAATAAAATTGTAAGCTATTTAAAGTACACATTGAGGTAATTTGAAATACATTGTGAAAAAATTCCCACTATCTATTTAATTAACATATCCGTCACTTCACATATTATCTTTTCTTTTTTGGTAACAATATTAAAGTTCTACTCTCAGCGAATTTCAATTATATAATACAATGTTGTCAACTGTAGTCACTATGCTTCACATTAGATCCTCAGGCCTTATTCATCTTATAGCTGAAAGTTTGCCCTCTTTTACCAATTGCTATTTCCGCTACCGACTAGCCCCAGGCCACCTTTTCTACTTTCTGTTTCTATGAGTTTGATTTTTTTAGATTCCACATATAAGTGATACCATGCAGTATTTGCCATTCTTTGTCTGGCTTATTTCATTTAGTGTAATGCCTTCAAGGTCCATCCATGTTGTCACAAAGGGCAGGATTTCCTTCTTTCTCATGGATGAATAATATTCCTCTGTGTGTGTGGGTGTGCACACGTGTGTATCACATATATTTATTTTTTAACATATCACATCTTCTTTGTCCATTCATCCATACATGGACACTTTGGTGGTTTCTATATCTTGCTATTGTGAATAATGGTTCAGTAAACATGGGAGTTCAGGTATCTTTTCAGTATCCTATTTTTATTTCCTTTGGATACATATCCAGAAGTGCAATTCCTGGATCATCTATTTTTAATTATTTGATGGACCTCCATACTGTTTTCCATAGTGGCTGCACCAATTTACACCCCCACCAAGAGTGCACAGGGATCCCCTTTTCTCCACATTCTGCCAGCACGAAGCTCTTATATTGTTCTTTTTTGTTTTTTTTCGTAGCTCTTATATTCTTGATGACAGCCATTCTAACAGGTATGAGGTGGTATCTTAATGTAATTTTGATTTGTGCTTCCCTGATGATTAATGATGTTAAACACCATTTCATGTACCTATTGACCATTTGTAAATCTTCTTTGGAAAAATATTTATTCAGTTCCTCTGCCCATTTTTTAATTGCATTTTTTTTTTCTTTTTTTTTTGGCTATTGAGTTGTGTGAGTTCTTTATATATTTTGGATATTAGCCCCTTATCAGATGAAGTGATCTTACCTTCTCTGAATTTGTCTCTCTTGTGCCTTTTTATTTTGTTTTAATTTATGTATATGTGCAGGTAGTATATTCATATGATATATATTTCTAAAGATAAAAAGGAAAATACAGTGAAAATTCTCCTTTCCTACCCTGCCGCTAGCCAAATTCTTATGCCCAGAGGCAACCACTAACAGTTTCTTGTATATTCTTCCAGACATAATCTATATATACTCAAGCCAGTATTCAACCT